AATTAGATCTAATAAATAAACAATTAGATCAAAACTTTGACGAATTCATTTCAGAATTCACGATATTTCGTATGCAAACGCTTCATTCTATGGCTGCAACTTTGCCAGCTACCAAGACACCTGGTACATGGGTCGAAACGCGAGCACATACGTCAAGGGTGGTACGATCTATGGCGAAACAGACTATGTCTTCGGTTTTGGCGCCGCGTATGTTCTTTCAGATATGTGGACTCGAGGATGCTTAAGATGTTGCAAGATGATTCGAACAAGGCACTTTTGCGAATCGGGGCTGCGGTGGCGCTCTGGTGGCATGGAAGGGCACAAATCAATCTGATCGTATGTGCATACTTGTATTAATAACAAGTTACCGTAACGATAATATCGGCCAGCGACGGGCACAACGCCAATCGCCCCTGGTAACCACTATGGTGCCTACATCAGCAACTCACAGATCATAAGGGTGCGTGCTTTGGCATCATGACGGATTTCACTCACTCCGCTGCAGAGTCCAGATGCCAACACCACGCTGGACCTCACCGGCAAGTGCTACCTGGGTATGGAATTTGACTTGATCGGCGTATTTCTTTCTCAAATTCATTAGGACGGCCCTGGAATGATGATGCAACGACTCTAATCCTTCGGACTTATATGGACGACACTGTAAGTACTGAAGGTCGCCATAGAGAGAATGCCCGCCGTCTAACGTATGGACAGATCAATGCAACTGGCTTTATTCCTTTTAGTGGTAGACCACAAGTCATACTCAACACGACTTATTACGCAGAATATGGGTCATATGGTAGGTGTTGGCAATATACATGAGCTGTGGACACTGATACACTGACAGGTCCGGGTGGAAATACATCCCAGCGTGCTTCAGCAGACCATGTGTTAGATTCGGCCCAGGCAGCGATGTTCACCATACCGAAAGTGTTTGGGGGATGGCCGGACTGGATAGATTACAACTATTAGCTGAACATCTGCGATGTCATGGGCAAGTAAGATGATAGGAAGCGAGTTGCATTCAAACAGTACAGAAGTCGCAGTGAAGAGCGCTAGGAGTCGGAAGAATCCAATCGTCAGGGTGTTTCAAGTTGTTATTTGTGCCAGCTTACAACACATGCCGCTGCCTCACCCCACGACTACCCGGGCATTCCTCATACCATGTTCTTTCTGAACAAACTTCTTACTGCTGGCTGTTCTAGACGGGGTAATATTGCCATCTGTCTTGTAGCACTGTGAGGGCCGCTCTGTGGTTGTCACACAAGTCGATGCACCTCAGTTTGCTTGCTCTCGTATTCGTTCGGGTTGTCACCGCTGTTCGGACATTCACTGTCTACAATGGTACATCGCGCGATAATTGTCTACCTTCAGTCCGGAACTCACATTTTATCTAGGCTGTCCTTTCACTGTTTGGCCTGCAATCTACACTAATCTTGCTGCTGGAACTGCGGTACCTCAGTACCAGACAGGGTTCGTCACAACTGCGACCATTGTTTCACTGCTAATGAGTGCCCCAGATGGCAAGCGGATGCATACACAACTGTGAACTTCAGCGTGCCAGATGCATGGACCTCTGGGCGTATCTGGGTAGGGGAACATAATGTTTGTGACACATCATCTGACCCAAGTTCAGGGACGTCGTGACTGCACCTTTCCAGCTGGGAACACATCGGCTAGCACCTGCTTGGATGGAGGATGCACTGGTGGTCTTTTATGTGATGTGAATACGGGGACAGGAATGCCACCTGCAACATTGGCTGAGTGCGTCTATCAAACTGTGTGTACTCTATGTGCAACCTAACAAGACCGCAGATTTTCCTTGGGAGGCACAACAGGTACAGACTTTTACGATGTCTCCCTTGTAGATGGCTACAATCTCCCAATCCGGATCACACCAACATCTGGATGTGCAGTTGCCGAATGTCCTTGGGACTTGGGACCTCTATGTCCTACGACACTTGCCGGCCCCTTTGACAGCACGGGCTACCCTGTTGGGTGCAAGTCTGCTTGCATCGCAGGTGTTGATGGCAATCCATCAAAATCGCCGAACTGCTGCTCTGGTAGCTTTAATACCCCCCAAACATGTCCAAGCTCAGGCGTTGCATTCTACTGGTTTTTCAAAGGATATTGTCCCAATGCCTATGCCTATCCTTTCGACGAAAGCTCTGGGACTGCCTTATGGACGTGCCCATCCAATAACTTGGCTGACTGTGAGCTTCTAAACATTCTTATTATTTCCTTGCCTGATCCAGTGACAGATACCATTACATTCTGTCCTGCGCCTGATGGTGCCGAACCCAGTGTCTCTCCTCCATCCACAAGTACATCGTTTGCCTTCGAGAGCACGACTTCCTGGATGTCTACACCCAGCTCCATGAACATCATGTCCACTACGACAGGTACGACACAGCCTGCACCTGGCTCGGATACCCTGCCAAATTCTTCGGTATGTATATGAATTCTCTCTACCATCATTCAACTAATGTTTATAGGCTATCATGACGCTGATACCTAAATCTGTGGCTGCGATATCGGCAATCACTTTTGGAGGTCTCATCTTCTTGCACTCATTATTCGGTATATAACAGTCTGCTGTGCCTCTCCTCTGTAATGATTTTCGGTTAAGATCATCCTTAACCCGAGTCCGAAAAACACCACCAACTTTATCCCTCAGCATTTTCTTGTAACCAATCTTCTCGACTTGGTTTATTACGAGCGAGATGATTGATTGTTTCTTCCAAAGAACGTACCGAAAAGAAGTGCGTCGAATCTGTTTACAGCCCTGTGAACTACGTGTCTCGTGCTAGGGTTGCCCTCTACTGGGCAGACATAGGGAGGTTGCTACCTTCACACAGGGTTAGGGTTAGGGTTAGGGTTAGGGTTAGGGTTAGGGTTAGGGTTAGGGTTTAGGGTTAGGGTTAGGGTTAGGGTTAGGGTTAGGGTTAGGGTTAGGGTTAGGGTTAGGGTTAGGGTTAGGG